GCGCTGCAGCGGGCCCGGCGTGCGCTCGCGCGGCCCTGTGTGTGCCCGGCGCCGGCGTGTGCGGCGCTCTGCTTGTGTGGCCATCCGGGTGTGTGCTGGGCGTCCATCCGAGCCTGTGCGTCCGGCCGGGCGTCTGTGTCCACCCGAGCGGTTGCCCCTCCGGCTGCGTGTCTGGGGGGCTGTCGCGCACCCATCGGAGGGGCTGTGTGCAGGTGTGTGTGCGTGGGTTGTGTGCCCAGGTGTGGGCTCCCCACCCCCACCCCAGCGAGTGTGCGCGCGGCTAGCTGCCTCGGGTGTTTGTGTGCCGGTCGGATGTCCATCCCAGGGTCCGCGAAACCGGGTGTGCCCGCCCGCGTGTCCATCTGTGTGTGTGTGTGTGTGTGTGTGTGTGTGTGTGTGTCTGTGTCTGCGGGTTGTATGTCTCCAAGGGTGTGTGTCTGTGCTTCCACGTCGCATACCCGGCCGCCGGTCGGGGGCTGGGGCTCTAGGCGTTGTGGCTCCAGGCCTCTGTGTAGGGGGAGGGGAGTTCGCCGCTCCCTCGGTCCATGTCAATGGTGGTGGTGGTGGGGTCCTCGGCAGTCCTTCGGGGAGACGGCCATGTCTTCCCCTTCCAGGTGGCTGGTGGTGGTGGGGGGTGCGGGATGGGTGGCCGGGAGGTGGCCAGATGGAGAGATGAGAGGCTGAGGTATGGACAGATGGACCCTGGAAGGGGGGTGGGGGGGCACAGACCAGTCCCTTTCCTATCCACCCCACCCCTCTCTCCCCACCAGCCAGATCCGCAGATGGGGCCAGAGTTGCCACCATCCAGATGGCCAGACCAGGGACCCTTGGGCTACTTGCTGTTGGGAGAGTGAGCTCCTTGGCTTGCAATGTGCTGGTGGACCCTGGGCCCTCTGAGAGTTGTTGACCTGCTGAACTCTGACCCCTGGTCCTGGCTGGGGCATGAGGGTGTGCTGGGAGGGCTGGTTGGAAGTAGGTGGGGCAGGGTGCCATGCTATGCCTATATGTCAGTGTGAACCCCAGCTTGTGTGGGGAGCCGGGACTGTGAGTCTTTGCTTCATGTGTATTTGTTAGCGTGTAAATTCCTGTTAAGGGTCTGGGCTGTGGTGGGGATGGGGCTCTGTGAGGAGGGGACCACTGTGGGTCGCTTTGTGGCCCTGTGCTTGTTGGCGTGTCTAGCCGCTTCGGTTGTCTGTGTACTGTGTGGTTCTGTCTACACGCATGAGACCGTGTGTGTGTGTGGATGCAGGCCTTGTATCAGTTTTGCAATTGTGCATTGCAGGCCTCGAAGTCATCTGAGGAGTGTGCACCTGTGTATCTTTGGGCACATGTGTACCTGCTATAGGTATGTGCCCCCGTGTAGTGGCACATGTGTGGTGGCACAAAGCAAAGTCGGCCCTGTGTGGCATGCGTGTGACCTGTGCTTGTGTGGAGGTGTGTCAGCCGTGAGAGTCTGTGTCTATGTATCAGTGTGGGTCTCTGGGGAGTGGGGGTGCATACATTGAAAGCGCGTGTCCGTGGCATGATACACACATAACTCGCCTGGGTCTCGGCCTGAGGTGGGACCCACTTCTGGGCCTAGGGGAGATGGGTCCCAGGCGGTGAGGCCTGGGGCCAGGCCTGGGACTGGGAGACAAGTGTGTTCACACCCCAGGCCAAGTGCCCATGGCGGGCACACCCAGACACCCAGCCATGGAGACTTGGGTGGGCCTACCCGTGTGGGTTCTGGCCTGTCCACATGTGTTGGGGTGGATATCTCTGAACCTTATCCAACTCCCTGTGCTGCTCAGGTCTTTGAACTTGGGGTGTGAGGTGGGCTGGGGCTCTGGCTCTGACACCGGGGCTGTCAAGGAAGAAGGGCAGGGGACCTCGGGCCAGGCCCAGCCTCCTGGGTTTGAGGAAGGAGGCAGTTGGTGGCCTGGGATTCTCCATATGAAGGACCCAGGCGGAAGCATTTGCTGTTGTTGGATGCCACCGACTGACCCCACCTCCTAGCGACCCTCTCTCCGCACAACAGAAGGAAACACCAGGACCGCTGGGGCGGGTCCTGCACCATCCCATCATAGCCATTATCCATAGTCACTGCATCAGTCCATCTCGATGAGGGCCTTCCTCTTTTTCGCTGGCTCTCTACCTGACCAACCACAATGGCCTTTGATTTCTTGGACCCGAGCAAGGATAGGACTGGGACCTGGACTCTTGGGTCTGAGGTGGGAGGTGGGGTCCCTGGCCTCCGGAGACCTCAGGCACACATGCCTGGAGTTTGGGGTGACCAGTTCTGAAGCCCAGACAGACCCCTAGATCTCTAGAGATGACTGCCCGGGTTCCCATGAGACTGTGCGGTGCAGCGTCAGGTGGGCTGAGGGGGGGGTGGTTCCTTGGCTGATAGCCCCCAAGGCTGGACTTCAAGCCCAGAAAGGTACCAGAAGGATGCTAACAGCATTGCTTTGTTCCTTTGCAGGTACTGGCCCAGGCCCTGACTCCCTGAAGAGAGGTGAGTGGGGGCAGCAGGCTCAGAGGGATGTGGGGGGACTGGGCTTGTTCTGCGCTGGCCAGAGGCCTGGAGTCCTGGCCGCATGTGGCTTGCAGTTTGAAGGAGGATATCACAGTGACCCAACAGCCAGGTGTTCCCTCCCTCTCTCCCTCTTCCTCCAGAGTGGGGTGGCTCGAAAGTCAGGGCAGTGGGCTTGACTAAGGGCTCCTTGTACGTTCAAGTCATGAAGGCTGAGAGGTGTGGTAGGGCAGATGGGGGTGTCCGGCTAGGAGACCTCTGATCTCTGACACGCACTGGAGGCTTTAGCGACTTGAGATGACCCCGCCCCTGAATTCGAGAGTTGAGTGGACAGGCTTTACCATTTTGTTCATGGGTGTGCCTGCCTGTGGGATCTCCCCGGAGTCGGGCCTGCTGGTGGCTGAGGGAGAGCCAGAGACCATGACCGCCAGAGTGTAACAGCTACACGCAGCCAGTGTTTGCTCAGCGAGCAGCTAGTCTGCGCCTGTCACACCGCCTTCACTTTGCCTCCAACAGCCCCATGGAGGTAGGCATTGGCGTCACCCCCATTTTACAGATGAGGACACTGAGACCCCAAGAGGGAAGCCCCTTGCCTTGCCTGTGGTCACATAGCAGGGAATTGGGAGGGTGGGGGGGAGGGTGAACTCAGGCTGCCTGGTCTAGTGCCCTTCAAATGGAATCTCTGTGGGAACAGGGACAGAGTCCGGCTTTCTCGGGAGTCTGGCTTGCAAGCCAGTGATTTTCTGTTCTACTGAGAGTCGTGTCCTGGAAGGAGTGAAGGCCGGATGAAGGGTGGAGATGCAGAGGTGGTGGGCTGCCCTGCCCTGCCTGCGGTTGGTCTTTTGCCCAGTGGCCATCTCACTGTTTCTCTTTGTGGGACACTGACGTTCCTGCCTTCCGTCCCTCCGTCATCTCTCTGCTTTTCCTTGTTTCTCTCTCTTTCTTTCTGCACTTTGTTCTGTCTTTCTTTGCCTGTCTCTTTATTTACTCTTCTTCCAAACTCTCTCTCTTTCTTTGAGTCTGTCTCTCTCTCTCTCTCTCTCTGCCTCTCCCCATCTCACTTCCCCACCCCCACTCCCTCCCCAACCTTGATCTCCCCTCCCATGTCCTCCATCCCCACTCCTTCTGGGCAAGAGTGAAGGGCAGGGGACAACCACTTCAGGCCTCAGCCCAAAGGACAGAGGCCCCGAAGGTGGGGCCAGCAGGGGCGGGGACCCGAGGTAGGATGGGGTGACAAGAGTTCCAGGGACGCCCCCTTCCCATCCATTCTTTCTTCACCCCCCTCCTCGCCCACCCTGTGTTGTGATGGGTGGTGACACGTCGTGGGCTGTAGCCGCCACAGGGGGAATCCCCACCGGAAGGTTTTGCCTGGAGCAGAGGCATGCGGGAGTGTGTGTGTGTGTGTGTGTGCGCGTGTGTGTGCAGGCATGTGTGGCTGTATCTGAGCACGTGAGGCCTTGCGTGTACCCCCACCCATCAGCTTGAGCAGGAGCGGCTGCCCCTTTGCTTAGCAGCGTAGCGTAGCAGTGCCAAGGGTGAATTCAGGCTCCCAGCAGGGCCTGCAGGAGGGAGGTGGGAGGCTCTGTGGGTGTTTCCTGGGCCCCTCCCACCTTCAGCTTCTCTCTGCCACTGCAGGAAGTGGGGGCACCCTAACATTTATCAAGTGCTTACTGTGTACCCAGCCTTGTGTTCCGTGGTTCCCAGGCAAGAGCTCACCGAATCCTCACCACAAGTCAGGGGAGATGGGACAGTCTGCAGGTCATGGTACAAATGACGACCAGCATGGGCGTGGGGATGGGTCCCAGAGCTGGCATGTTGTAAGCTGGAATCGGAACTGGGTCTGTCGGGCTCCTCAGCGCTCCATTTCAGAATGGCCCACAGTGCTGAGAGTGACACGGGATCGCATGCCTGAGCGCATGGGCAAGAGGCCGTGGCTGCCATGTTTATGAAGTCATGGGGTCCTTCCCGAGGTAAGACCTGTTTCTCTCTCCATTTGACAGATGAAGAAACCGAGATTCAGAGAGCTTCAGATACTCGCCCGAGGTCACGCGGCTAGTAAGTGTCAAGAATCCCAACCCTGGGCAGGTGGCTTTAAGGAATCCCGGGGACTCGCAGTGGTGAACAGTACAGCTGCCAGCCCAAGGGTGGGCGGTTCAAACCCAAGGAGGAAGATGCGGCCGTCTGCTTCCATAAAGAAACTCTATGACGAGAGTTCTACTCTGTCTTCTGGGGTTGCTGTGACTTGAAATCAAACTGGCAGCTACAGGGTTTTCTTGGGGGTGAGGGCAGGGGTTAGTACAGCAAGGAGCCAGGGCTTTCTACTCCAGTAAATTAGTCTCGGAAATCCACAGGGGGCAGTTCTACCCTGAGCCAGCATCCACTTGATGGCAGTGGGTATGAATTAAAAAAAAAAGTATGGCTTTGAAATCCAGGGTCTTAAAACCTTAGTCAACAGCCATTTCTCAGACTATCTTGTGGGTGCTGGAAGACCTAGGTGTTGCCTCTGGTGGCTGGTGCAGGGAGGGGTGGGGAAGGAAGCAGGGTGCTGGGGGTGGGGGAGCAGTAGCAGTGTACCAGCTAGCAGGGAAATAATGGTGATCTGTCGTGGCATAGTGGGTTATGCATAGGGCTGCTAACTGCAAGGTCAGAAGTTTGAAACCACCAGTGGCTCCCAGGGAGAAAGATGAGGCTTTGTACTCTCCTAAAAAAATGACAGTCTCAGAAGTTCACAGGAGGCAGCTCTGCTGTGCCTCTGAGGGTCCCTATGAGTAGAAGTAGACTATGGCAGCGAGTTGAACCACAGTGAACATGTTGGTTGATTTTTAGACCTGTCACTGGCCTGTGTGTCCCAGTCGTCAGGAGAGGAGGGGGATCCTAGCAGGGCATCCCAGTGGCCCCGCTGGGCCTGGGTAACCCTCCTCCTCGATTTCAGGTCTCTCCGCCCACTCCCCTCACCTGCCCACTGCACCATGGCCCCAGGCCCCTCCTCCTCGGCGCTCCTCTTGCCGCCACCGGCTGCGTTACCCTTCCTGCTGCTGCTCTGGGCAGGGGCCTCTCGAGGCCAGCCCTGCCCGGGCCGCTGCATCTGCCAGAACGTGGCGCCCACGCTGACCATGCTGTGTGCCAAGACGGGCTTGCTCTTCGTGCCGCCGGCCATCGACCGGCGCGTCGTGGAGCTGCGGCTCACGGACAACTTCATTGCGGCAGTCCGCCGCCGTGACTTCGCCAATATGACCAGCCTGGTGCACCTCACCCTCTCCCGGAACACCATCGGCCAGGTGGCGGCTGGCGCCTTCGCCGACCTTCGCGCCCTCCGTGCCCTGCACCTGGACAGCAACCGCCTAGCCGAGGTGCGTGGCGACCAGCTCCGCGGCCTGGGCAACCTCCGCCACCTGATCCTGGGCAACAACCAGATCCGCCGGGTCGAGTCGGCTGCCTTCGACGCCTTCCTGGCCACCGTGGAGGACCTGGATCTGTCGTACAATAACCTGGAGGCCCTGCCCTGGGAGGCGGTGGGCCAGATGGTGAACTTGAACACCCTCACGCTGGACCACAACCTCATCGACCACATAGCCGAGGGCACCTTCGTGCAGCTGCACAAACTGGTCCGCCTGGACATGACCTCCAACCGCCTCCATAAACTCCCGCCCGACGGGCTCTTCCTGCGCTCGCAGGGCGCTGGGCCCCGGCCGCCCACGCCCCTGGCCGTCAGCTTCGGCGGGAACCCGCTGCACTGCAATTGCGAGCTTCTGTGGCTGCGCCGGCTGACCAGGGAGGACGACCTGGAGACGTGCGCCACCCCGGAGCACCTGACCGATCGCTACTTCTGGTCCATCCCGGAGGAGGAGTTTCTGTGCGAGCCTCCGCTGATCACGCGGCAGGCCGGCGGCCGTGCCCTGGTGGTGGAGGGCCAGGCTGTCAGCCTGCGCTGCCGGGCGGTGGGGGACCCTGAGCCGGTGGTCCACTGGGTGGCCCCTGATGGACGACTGCTGGGGAACTCCAGCCGGACCCGGGTCCGGGGGGACGGGACGCTGGATGTCACCATCACCACCTTGCGGGACAGTGGCACGTTCACGTGCATCGCCTCCAACGCCGCTGGGGAGGCCACGGCGCCCGTGGAGGTGTGCGTGGTGCCGCTGCCCCTGATGGCACCCCCGCCGGCTGCTCCGCCCCCTCTCACGGAGCCCGGCTCCTCGGACATCGCCACGCCCGGCCGGCCTGGTGCCAATGACTCGGCCACGGAGCGCCGGCTGGTGGCCGCCGAGCTGACCTCAAACTCTGCGCTCATCCGCTGGCCAGCCCAGAGGCCCGTGCCTGGCATCCGCATGTACCAGGTGCAGTACAACAGCTCGGCCGACGACTCCCTCGTCTACAGGTGGGTGTGCGGGCCCAGGGGGCCTCCTTGCTCAGCCAGGGTCCCAGGGGGGGCGGGGCGTATAGACTTGTCCAGGGTCCTGATTCGTTCTATGGCCTCCTCTTCCTATTTCTAGCCCTCTCTCATTCATTCAGCCAATCCGCATGCCGCAATTACAGGAGCCAGACCAGGCTGGGCACTGGCGTGATTGTAATAGGAGGCGGGCCGATCCCTGCACTCATGGGTGTGTGGGCCTCCTCTATGCATGAAATTATATACAGAGAAAGCCCTCGTGGTGTAGTGGTTGTGCTCTGGGCTGCTCACCCCAAGGTCAGTAGTTTGAAACCACCAGCAGCTTTGTGGGAGAAAGAGGCGGCTTTCTACTCCCTTAAAGAGTTACGGTCTTGGAAACCCACAGGGGGCAGTTCTACCCTGTTTTACAGGGTTGCTATTGACTTGATAGTGTGTACATGTTCACACACACACACACACACACACACACACACACACACACACACACGCAGTCCCCAGGCTGTGAAGATACCACTTAAATATACCCACCACTACAAGCTCTTCCCTGAAAACCCTATCAGATTAAAAACTGCTCGTCTAAGCCCTCCACAGTCCGCCCCCTCAGATCTCAATACGGGTCTGAGTGGTTAAAAAAGGAGGAAAAGTACAACTGAAGTGGACTTGGAGTCTTTCATAACATACAAGTTCATTTCAAACATAAAAAAAAAAACCCTGCCTAGATAATGCTTTATAGTTGCATATGGGTGCAACGTTGTGATTTGCATAAAAATGATGATTACGGTGTTACTGTGCGAAGGGTGCTTTGGTGCATCTGGAAGTGTTTCTTCAATGATTTCAGTGCACAGACAGGTACACGATAGACTAAGACAAACCTTTGTCTTACAGTGCCTACCTGTTCTGATTTACATCTACATTTGACTTAAAGGCGGACTTAGGAGTGGAACTCATTCATAATCGGAGGGCTGCCTGTATTTGTTTATACGAATCAACCATAGATCAGCAACACTATACCAGCCCACTGATAGAGTGTAGAGACAGCAGACCATCTGAGAGATAGCTAAGTGATTGCCACCCTCCACTGCCTTAGAAGCTCCTGCCTTGGTGTGGACAGACCTGTGTGGGGTAGACAGCCACAAGCCACAGATGGGTTACATCCTCCCGTCCTCTCTTTCTCTTGCTTGTCTCTGTCCTCGCCCCTCGTCCCCTCACTTGTCACCGAGCTCCTGTGGGGACACAGAGAGACCGCAAGGACACCTAGTGCTCAGGTCCTCAGTGAGCTCAGAGCCCAGGAGCAGGAGGCACGGACAACAGGACCAAGTGGTACCTTGGCCTTGTTCGGACTCTAGACCAGCAGTTCTCAACCTGTGGGTCGTGACCCCTTTGGGGGTTGAACGACCCTTTCACAGGGGTCGCCCAGTTCATAACAGTGGCAACATGACAGTGATGAGGTAGCCAGGAAACTAATTTTCTGGTTGGGGGGTCACCACCACATGAGGAACTGTGTTGAAGGGTCACGCCATGAGGAAAGTGGAAAACCACTGCTGTCGATGAATGATTTTTTGAATATTGCTCTTGATCCCAGAGCTGGTACATGATGGGCATTTGCTAAATGGCGGCTGACAGGGTGGCCAGCTCTCCTCCTGGCCCCTGGCTGACAGTGTGGCCAGCTCTCCTCGCGGCCCCTGCCATCGCTATGCCTGCCGACTACTTCCTCCTGTGTGTGAGGTCACTTGGAGGGACACCTGAGGGGCCCAGCCTTCCCCTCACCTTTGGGAACAAGCCTGTCTCCTGGTTTCTGTCTCCACCTTTCCCAGTGCTTGCCTGGCACATAGTAGGCGCTTTCCCTGTGGTCAGTTGAATGAATAAATGCCTCTTTCCCTCCTCATCTCTGTCTTCCCTGTGTTGTCCCCCACCTGGAGCGTGGCCAGCTGGAAGCCAGCTCCTATGCTGGGCCCCGGGCCCACAGAGAGAGCCGAGACTCTGTACAGGAGGGCCAAACTTGAAACAAAACAAAACAAAAATGATGACAAGGGACCTCATCCCAAGGAATGCCATCTCATTTGATCTTCCTGACTCTGCTATGAGGTAGCGATAACTCTCCCCTGCCCTCCCCACACCCCTGCCATTTTACAGCTAGGGAAACTGAAGCTCTGGGGTGGAGCCCACTGCCCAAGGTCACACAGTAAGGAGCTGAGCACCAGCATCCCAGAGTTTACCCTCTCAACATGGAGCACACAGGTATTGAGCACCTACTGTTTGCCTGGCAGGGATAGAGTCGAGACAGCTAAACAGATGCTCTAAAGATTTCTCTGTGTCTGTAACTGTCCACCTCTTTCTCTTTCCCTCTCTCTGGGCACCTTGGCCACTGTAGAAGGTAGAGGAAGAGGGGCTGTTCACAGGTCCCCAGATGTAGGCAGATGTTGAAGGCCCCCTTCCCCGCTGGGCAGCAGACCCTGGGTCTCTGCCCTTCTCCTTAGGGCCACAGTTCCATCCTCTCATCCCTCCCTTGCAGATGCTTGTGCTATGGTACAGCAGGAGTTAACTTCCTCTGTGCTGCCATGGGTGGAGGTGACATCCAACCAGAAGCCTGCTCAGCTGCTTGCTTGGGCCTTGTGGCCAATTAGAGGCGCCAGGGCTCAAGCCTTCTTAAGGAGACCGCTTGTTTCTGTCCTTGAACAGAAAGGAGCCTTGAGCAATTGGTTCTTTGGGGGAAAGGGGCAAGCAGAATCTAAGGGATTCTGGGGGGCACATGAGGGAGAGGAAGAGGAAGACTGGGCTAGGGGAGGCAGGGATGGTTAAGGTGGGGCTCTGGACCTTCAAAATGGCAGGCAGGGGCAGAGTGGGAGGAGTGGGTGGGCTCTTACTTGAAGTCTTTCTGCTGGATCAGGAGCCCTGGTGGTGTAGTGGCTACAAGTTGGGCTGCTAACTGCAAGGTCAGCAGTTCAAAACCACCAGCTGCTCCGATGGAGACAGAGGAGGTTTTTTACTCTTGTGAAGAGTTACAGTTTTGGAAACCCACAGGGGCAGTTCTACCCTGCCCTATAGGACCGTTATGAGTGGGCATTGGCTCGATGACAGTGAGTTTGGTGGCTGCTTTTGGAGGGTGACTTGTGATGGCAGAGGAGCCTCCTGGAGGTCGGGGTACTGGGCGGGGACTTTAGGACTGGAAGGTGGAAGGTGGCCCAGCTGGAAGAGCAGGGAAGCTTCTGAGAGGTAAGAAAGCCTGTGGAGGTGGGGGTGTGGCTTTGAGAGGGGGTGGGGCTTGCTCTGCCCACTCCCTGTAGATGAGGGGGCAGTTTGTGTCAGGTGACCCACTAAGAAACACAGGCTGTTTTTCTTTCAGGAGAGGAAAGTGGGTGAGGTTGAATGCCGGGCTTGCAATGTGGTTTATTTAGATGGGACTAGACATAGCCACCTGGATTTGGGAGACAGTGTGCTAGGGATGTGCCGCAGAGAGGGGCAAGGCCTAGTGGTACTGGCCCTCCGGAGGGTGGGTCTTCTAGATAGGGAGCAGCAATTGGCAGCAGAGTGTAAGGTACGGGAAGTGTTACTGGCCACCGAGTGATGGGATGCCTGCTGACAATGATGAGATCATGACTGAGTGCCGGGCTTGGGAGCTGTTAACCCATTCAGTCCCCACACCATCTCTGCTGTCTGGAAAGGAACGCTCATTTTTCCCAACTGGGGGGAACCAAGGCAGGGAGATCCAAGAGACTTGCTGAAGGTCCGCGAGCCTAAGGGTAGAAGAGAGATTCTAAACCAGGCAGTCTGGCAGCCTTGTCACTTTTCTGCACTGTCCCTCGTTTGAAGGCAGTGGCCCTTCGAAGTGAAGGAACAAATGATTGGTGAAATGTCACCTGGGCGTGGATGAAACTTCTCTGGAAGCCTGGCTTGGGGAGTACGGAGTCAGTACGGAGACATGAGGGCCTGTTGTCTCACCAGGAATGGGACATGCAAAGAGTGGACATCGTCCTGGGTACAGCAGGGGACCTAACCCAAGTGGGCCACTGGGGTGTGGTGGGGGAGTGGCTTAGAGCACTGGCACCTTGCTAGATGGAGTGTGGAGAAACCAAACAAGACCATGGCACCTGAAGGAATGAAGTGAGATCCTTGGGGTGGGGCATGCAGACATGGGGGGCGTGACCTGTAGCAGCAGTCTCTTGAAGCATGGGAATTTGTAGATAAGGGAGCTTGGCAGCAGTCCTAGGAGGGGATCAGTTACTCTTGTGGGCAGGTCATACAACCAAAGGGTGCAGCCTATAGCATTGGTTCCTTACTGGCGCTAAATATATATACATAACCGGGAATGGCAGTTACCGCCCCAGTAGGTGGCAAGCCTGCAGCCCTAAATGAGAAGCAGATGAAAGGATCGTGTAGTAATGGTGCCAAAAGGTTGATAAGGGGCTTGAATGTTGTTTTTGTCCCAGCTAGCAGTCAGGCACAGGAACCCTGGTGGTGGCATAGTGGTTCCCCGGTGGGCTGCTAAGTGCCAGGTCAGCAGTTTGAAACCACCAGCCGGCTCAGCCTAGCAGTTACAGTCTCGGAAACTCACAGGACCAGATCTCCCCTGCCCTATAGGGTCGCTATGAGTTGGAATCTACTGGATGGCGGTGAGTTTGGTTTTGGAGTGGTCAGGCACCCCACGTCGTGGCTGCTGTGGGTGGGGCATGCAAATAAATAAGTGTGGTCCAGCTGGGGCTGACCTCGCCCTAATCCCCAGCCTCTTTCCACAGGATGATCCCGTCCACCAGCCAGACCTTCCTGGTGAATGATCTGGCGGCCGGCCGTGCCTACGACCTGTGCGTGCTGGCTGTCTATGATGATGGGGCCACGGCGCTGCCGGCCACGCGCGTGGTGGGCTGCGTGCAGTTCACCACCGCTGGGGACCCGGCACCCTGCCGCCCGCTGCGAGCCCATTTCCTCGGCGGCACCATGATCATCGCCATCGGGGGCGTCATCGTGGCCTCCGTCCTCGTCTTCATCGTCCTGCTCATGATCCGCTACAAGGTCTACGGCGACGGGGACGGCCGCCGCGTTAAGGGCACCTCCAGGTCGCCCCCGAGGGTCAGCC